CTACAGACACATACACACCAAACACACACACACACACACACACACACACACACAGAGGGCGTCACCTTTGCCCTGTGCCCTGCAGAGAGTCTTTCATTATGGAGACACCTCATGAACAGCTGGGTCAGGCTCCAACTCATGGGAAACAAAAAACTGGGGACACAAAGTTTGGTGGCATCGGCGACTCATAAGACTTTGTCCTTTGAGTATAAGCTTTGTTTTTATAGTGAGAATTTCATTTGACATTTCACAGAAATAGGCTTTTGAGCTTAAGTAATACTGAATTTACTGAACAATGTGTTCTCAAAAAATCTTAACCCATGAAACTGCAAAAAAGTCAGCAAGTTTCTTGTGTATATCAACATTGGTGAGAATAGTAAATGTAATATCTTTATTATTCTGATTCTAATTAGTAGAGAGAAGACTGGAGAATCTTTCTTTCGATGTAGGATGTTGTGTTTTATTCCTGGTTAAATAATCAGTTCTCTCATTAGAGCCCAACATAACTGAGAGCACTATGAGGGTCATTGGAGTCAGACATTTACATACGTATCTTCATGTTGCACAGGGTATAAAGACTGCATGTGCAAATACATGCAACAGACATTTAAACATGAAAATATCTGCTAACTGCCCCTACCATCTGCTTCAAAATACACATGTCAGAAATGATACGGAACATGAATAATAACAGCTTCTCACTTTAACTCTGTGGGCTGAGAATAAACCCACCAAAAGGCCGACAGATGCTATCCTCTGCATCCTCGGATGTTTGCTCATTTAATCTGTAAGATGCCGACATGCCATCATAATTCAGTCACTGCTCATTCATACGACTGCAAAGAGCATGCCAGGTTTACAATTTAGTGTGTGTGTGCACGGAGTCTCAGAATAGGAGGGGAGGGGAGGGGAGAGGGGGCAGTGGTAGAACAGAAGGGATCCTGAAAGTCTGCGCAGCTCCTCTGAGGCATGCCTGGGATTCCAGAGGTGTCACCAGGGGAGCATCTTCCCTGTGGGCTTACCTTACCCAGGAGAAGGGATACAAACACACAAACATACAGTAAGTGTGGTCGGAGACGAGCTTTAACGGGGTGGAGGTGAACCATGAGGGGAAAGCTCCGGGGGGTTTGGCTGGCTGATCTGTAAATATGTGGACAATGCTGGCTGAGGGCTTGCCAGCCACAGCCATAGTTATGTGGGGTGTGGAGATGGGATGGGAGATACGGGTATTTAGAGACCACCAGCATGTTCTATTAAAAAATATGCTTATGTTTCGGTGTTGTTTTAAAGGCTTATTGGACTAATACATAACGCACTGTGAAAAATGTAACCAGAGAAAAAAAAATGGAAATCTCTTCTTCTGCTGTTGGTCTCATTATTTGTGTTTCCTCCTGAGGTCTACAGTGACACCCTCTGTGTCCATCTGTGCAAAAAAAAAAAAAAAAACCTGACCTGACCTGACATAGATCGGCACGGAGATATAATCTTGTCTATTTGATTTCAGCAGATTTAATATCTCATCAAATAACAGTGCATTCACCAAATTACTTTCAGCGCCCTAATGCCCCAACATAATCCACACTTGATTAGTGAAAGCCCTCTGCATCAAAGTCATTTGAAAATAGCTGACGTGGAATTTAAAAACAAGGGCAAGCAGTCAAAAAGTTAAAATAATGTTTCTTGCACAAAGTTAACTGTTACAATTCTAGTCATACTTTTTTGACCCTGCATGCTTTAAGAGCACAAATAGCATCACTTTCTTTTACAATCAAAGCCTTCATTTACATCCTGAACATGATGAACAATAGGGCCAAACTGGGAAACATTAGATTTACTGTTTTGCTGTTTCTCTTTCTCAACTTTACAGACTTTCTCTTCTATAATAAATACAAATCCACAAATTGCATATTTTTTTCCCTCTACATAAGAAACAAAAACTGCCTTTCACAGATTCGTCATTATTCCCATATTAAACTCTGCTCCAGATGAAAAAAAGAGAGCATGTGTTTTATCAAGCAAAACACACCCTGACATAGAAAAACAAATGCTAAGATATGAAGACCATGACTTGAGTCCTTCATATGATGTTGTCACTCATTGTTAACACATGATCAGGGCACCTACCCAGGTCCAGTAGCCAGAACTTGCAGTTGTCAGAGTGTCCTCTCTGTGCTGAATTCATGGTGCAGAAAGGGTTTAAAGACACTAAAGACTCAATTCCACGGGCCATGTCAGGCAAATATCAAGCCTCGGGAAAACCGACTTGAAAAATCTCCCTTAATGCATCGCCACTGACTTTTAATCGCTATGAAAACCGAAGATTGTTTCTGAAATGCTTGCAGTTTAAAAACAAATAATTCTTCATAATCTATGTCGCTTAAAATCCAGGGAGAGAAGGTGTGAAGTCCAGGGTGAGGGAAAAAGAAAAAGTCAAATGCAGCATGAAAGAGTAGGATGTTTTCTCTCTCTCTCTCTCTCTCTCTCTCTCTCTCTCTCTCTCCCTCTCTCTGTCTCTCCCTCTCACTGTCTTTGTATCGCCTTCCCTCCTTCTCTCCCTCCCTCGTCTGTGAGTGGGCTGCTGTGAGGATATTGGGCAAGCCTCCACTGTGCCGCTCCCGATCCAACGGGATGTCTGTAAACACGCAGCACATCTACCGTATTACCCTTTGTAGGAGCACCCACTCAGTTTGTGTGGGCGGGTGCATATTTCACAGACATTAGGATGCATACACGTTGTGCAGTATGCTTGGAACAAATATAGACTCAGTTATGAAATACAAGAGAAGAGAAAAACAAAATGATCAGGGTTAACTCTGGTTAGTTACAAATTTCATTCAGGTTTTCTGGGAGTCAGAATCCCTTTTGGAGGTTTTGCAATGTTTTCTTGACTACTGCTGACTATATTTAACACTTAATTAACTTAACTTAATTTTGGTACATTTTCACTGTACCCTACACACCGTGCAGTCTAGAGAAGCTATGCAGACTAGATCTTCCTTTTCCACTGTGAGTGTGTGAGTGTGAGTGTGAGTGCATGTGTGTGTGTGTGTGTGTGTGTGTGTGTGTGTGTGTGTCCCTGGGCTCTAAACAAACTCTGTCCTGTAAGAACACGCACACACTTGTATAGACACAGCCTGCATGTATTTATTCTGCTCCTGAAAGGGTCTTTTTTTTTTAATCAAAAGTTTGGTCATTTGTTCAGACCTTTTTGTTTCAGTCAGAAAGGCATTGAGAGCAGTTTTTTTTTTTTATGAGCGGGGGATTCCAATAATGTGCTTAGAGTGGGGATGGAAATGCTGTAAACCCAAATTAAGAGGAATGTTGAGCTTTGCATAGATAAACAGTAAAGGAATTTTTAAACATTTCAAAAACATGCACCTTGAACGCATGCTGCTACAGATGTAAATGACTGTCATCAGTTGCCTCCTATATGTGATACAGGCTATCTCACTCTTCATTGTAGTTATTCCCAAGAGAAAAAGCCCCCCCCCCCCCCCTCCCCAACAGTCAACTATTCCTGCCTATGAGACACAGCAGGAAAAGAGATTTTCCAGAGAACCCTAATCCCCTTAACACGTCACCTTTCCACAACTCTGGACAAAGTGGCCTGCATGGTCAGTAAACACAAAAAGCAGACAAAGTAGCAAAGACGTTTTCTTGTCATCCTTGTCTTCCTCCTCCTTGGCAACAGCCTCTCTCTTTTTTTTTTTTTAACCGCAGCAACCCCTGCAGTGAGAGGCTCCTTTTCATCACTCCCTCTGGCCACCCAAACACACAGATACATAAAACTGAGGGCGGGTTAAGCGCAACCAAGAGACAGAGGAAAGCCAGATAAAAAAACAAGAGCCTCTGTAAGCAAACAGAATGAGAAACAGTAAAGCTGTGGTTAAATACGCAGCTGGGAAATGCTACCAGCCTTCCTGTTATGTACTGTATGTGTAAATCATTCAATTCCAAAGCTACGACTTCTTGTATGTACAGTCCATGTATCCTGTAATTTGAAATACAAATGCAGACATTTCTCATTCTGACTACAAAGAAGCTTCCCGCAAAATATGTGTATGCTATATTACCATAGAAACAAGCATTGCAGCACTCTCCCACTCTAACAGATTAAAGTGAAAGAGACACAAGCAGAAAGTTCTGTTATCATACGACGACAGCAGCTCAGAACTCAGAACAGACCAGGTGTCACATGAGGGTACGGTCTGTAGTGGTAAATATTTGAGCACTAGTTGGAACATGATATTTAAATGTTTTTAGTTACAAGAAATGATATATGATGTGTATAGCATAGGCATGTACTGGTACTAGTATACAGAGTTTATATCTTCTAGAGATTGGCACAAAAGGAGAAAATTAAACGTATCATGAGAAAGCTGCGTTCAGGGACATCAGAACATCTGGATGTTTACAGTAATTTTTGAACATTTGTGTTCAAAGTTCTTATTGGTCTGCAGAAAAACTCCCACTTTCCCAACAGTAATGGGTATGGTTGGTAATTATGGTGGATATTGTCTGGCAGGAAATAATTCAACAATATTTCTTTAACTGTAACCACTGTAACCATGGACGGTGGAAATAACCTTTGGAGGTCGATTTTTCATAATGAGACGCCTAAGGCTTGCAACAGCAAGCCCCTCTACAAAAGAGGGGCTTGCTGTTGCTTGTTTCAGTAATGTGTTGGGAATTTAAAGGTTGAAATTATTTCAAGATAATTAAAAGACAGCATCAAGTAGGTGTTCAACAGTTGCATAGCAACACCCAAAAATAAAGGTTGGTGCCTTTCAAAGCAGATGTTTGGTGAGAAAAAAGTCACTTATACAATGTCTCACTTATACAAGAAAAACATCCTGTTATCTTTCACGATCATGCCAATATGTGCATGGATGTGACGTGCAGTTATTGTGTGAGATAAGAAGGTTCTGCAGACTAGCGCGCTGTTTCCAAATATGAAATACATCGAATGAGCTTCCTGAAGTGTCCAGATGTGCCTCAATATTACAAACTAACTTCCAGGACAGTTGCTAGAGTTTGTACAAAATGCCAATAAAAAAATTCTACTCCTACCTTTGTGGTTGAAGAGCCCCTCCATCTCCATGGAGGACCTGGAGTGAGCGATACAGAGCATGGAGCAGGGCACGATGCCCTCCTGGGCCGGGGAGCGGTCCGTGGTGCGCACCAAGCACCAGTCTGGCTTGTCATGGAGTCGCTCCAGAACCTCCACAGTCTGTCCACGGCGTACCGTCAGCTCCCCACTGCTGCCACCGTTACTGGACACAAAGTCATGGATCACCACGGTCAGCTCACAGCCTCCGGACAGCTGAAATAGAGAACAGAAAAGAAGAGAAGTCTATCAAAACCTCTTGAAGCTAAACAGCAAACATATAGGGTTATTTGTTTTTATACTATCCACATGATTGCCAAAGCAATAAAGGCAGTCACAGGAAAACAAGGTGAGAATTATTATCCACTTGCAACAAGAAATAAAAAGACATCATATTAAAGTACAGTGCGTATGGTATGTGTGTAGTGATATACTGCTAGTGAACTTATTTAGGACAGGTGAAAAACATGGATTCTGACTGCATTTTGACAATCTTGGTACAGTGAGCTGAAATCACTCAAACACTCAAGTGCAAACATTTTCCACACATCATACTCTGCAAACAGCAAATGTTCTCAAGCAGCAGTGTAAAACAAAATGATGAGGCTGACTCATTCTAGCACAATGGAACAAAAAGTCACAATGACAGTCTGACTCCGATCATGCGAGTGTCTTTCAAAAAGGAGGCGATTCAGGAAGGTGGAACAAGTTGTTTTTGCTTGCTGGTTATACTCAGAAGTAATTCTGTTCAGCATATGACTGAAAATGCAGCTCTTATATTTCATCAATGCTGCACTCGCTCATAAAATAAAGCACTTTGCTCACAGGAAAAAGGTATGCCATAGTGGCACACCGGATGAGGCACAGATCGTTTTATTGTGAAAATTTGACAAAATAAAGAATTCTGTCAGGGATTGCTAATTTTTTCTTTTTTGAATGTGGCTCATGCGCATAATAAGGACTAATTTGCTGCGAGTAGCAAAATACATGATTCAATTTATTTTTCTTTTTTTTCAAAGTTGTTCATTCCTTAGTAATCATCCAGTTTATTTTTATCATGTAAAAGGAAATTAAGTTCATCGACTCCACAGCAAATTTTCAAAACAAACCTTACGTGTTCATATTCAAGAACTCTGGACAATCAAACTAATTAAAAATAATTGTAATCATCTTCTGAGCTCATATCAAATATGACACATTGTATACTCAAGCCATATAGCAGTCATACATGGAATAATAGACAAAAATGCTTTAGACTAAAATCATATATTTCATGTACAATCTTTCAGATCTTTATGGCTCCTAAAGCTGGAGATGATTTTTCTCATTTCAAGAGTTGATACAAAGTATTGTGGCATGTCTCTTGCATCCTTTACAACATCAAAGCCCCAGTATATAAATGTCACAACAGTTCCCCCTAATGTTAAAAGTGCCACCACGCGCATTGTTTTGCAACATACCCTTTGGTAGTGCGGTAAAGCCAGAGAGCTGAGGAGCTGAGAAACGGGATGTGAGCTCCTCTCCACCAGCCTCTCCATCGTTCTCCACTCCCTCATCGTGAGAGAAGTTTCAAGGTGATAGAAAAACTGCCGGAGTTCTCCAGAAATCCACTCAAATTGTCCTCAATCGTAATGAAGAAGAAGATGCTCACTAGACTAGTATGAGCTGTCTTGTAAAATGATAAAGGTAATGGAGTATTTCCTCTGGGAAAAAAACCCCAGCCCCAGATAATTACAGTCCTGATCCCTTAGACATCCAAAGGCTAAGAGAAAAGTAACTGCCATCCACAGCACTCCTCTGTGGGTGCTCACAATTAGACTATTGACGATGAATGGTTCCCTTCTGTGTGTCTCCTCCCTGCAGCGGAGCATTGAATCCTGCCTTGTTGTTTAACCAACTATGCTACACTTAAACACCAAAATAAAGCACCATTACATTTAAATGACATTTTTTCTAAATATTTGCCTGAATTTTTCATTCGTTAAAGCAGGTGTGAGATCAATGGCTGTGAGGACTCAAAACTGTGCTCTCCTGTCTGGCATTCAGACGAGCATCCTCTGTGAAGAGAGCGTGGGAGGCTGAAGCCGCGGACACACGAGTCAGTCACCGAAGCGGAGACACACACAGGAACCGGACGTACTCACACACACACACACACTAACACAAACACACCACTGTCGCTACCTTTTGAATGAAAGGTCTCACAGACCATCCTCACATAGAGATGGATAGAGAGAAGCATTCAAAAAATGGAGAGATGCAAATTTGAGAGCGTGTTCTGCATGTTTATGTGTTTGTCCTTAACTGAGGGAGCATGGATTAATGAATCGGTGTCTGTGATAGTGTTGACACAATTGGATAAAGATGAGGTTTTGGGTCATTTGGAACAACCACAGAGCTGATCTTTGAGCGGTCTAAAAAACAACATTGAACAAGTTAAACTAGTTATCTTATTTGAGGCCGCGTTGGGGAAAGTCCAACTCCAGTGTGAAAATGAAGACCTCACGCAAGAGTCCACAGCTACAGTGTATAATTAGTGTGACATAAAAGTAGGGAAATATTTTCATCTATGTGTGTGTCCGTGTGCATGTGTGTGCGTATGTCAGCTCTACAGTTGCTCATACTGAGCGTAGGAGGATCGGCCTTCTGTGGTGCTATTACCAGATATAACCACGTCCGACTGTCCATGTTTCGAGATAGCTCAGATTCTCTCTCTCTCTCTCTCGCGCACTCATAAACAAACACAAGCATGGTTGCACACATACAAAAACGCACACTGCTCTACATCTTTGTCAGATGGACTGATTATTTCTCATCACACAATCGAGCACTTTGACAGGAAACAACTTGAGGAAAATGAGCTGATTCCAACCAGTTTGCAGCTTCTGACGATGTGACAATGTGAAACGGCATAATGACAGAATCCGAGCATCTGAGCAGAGGGCGAGCAGGGAGCGCAAGTGTTAATGTTTTGGGTTGAGTGTACATGAGCATTGTTGGGTTTTTTTTAAACTGGAGACATGCTTTCACTTCTCCTTCAGTTATGCTCTGGAACAGTTTTGTAAATAGAAGCCTCTCTGACGTTTTCTGCAGCAGCTGCTGGTACGCTGCTAACAATCTCTCTGGTCAGGTCGTTGACCATGTGAGCACTTTTTACAGGATAAGATTATACTGAGAGGTGAATTGTATTAATGGAATGGAATTGAAAGTCTGAAGCAAAGAGAAACTGGTTGTTTTTATTGCACGAATAATATTACACATTTATTGATCAAATGAAATAATAAAATCTAAGTACCCTGAGCTCTAACAATCACATCTTTTTGAGTGCAAAATGTGTCCATCTGTTTACTCACCCTATACCTGGTACAAGTGTACAGCCTTAAGTACAGGTGTGAATGCACTCAGGATGCAATGAGATCCAATCAAATATCTGTCAATGCACTGATGGAGGTAGTGTGGAACGTCAACATTTGTCTGCCAGTGTGTGGGCACATGGTCATGCGTAACATTAAGGATCACCCACTCTCACACTATCCATGGCAACGGTGTTTTGGTGCAACAGACCTCTATCTTCTCATATTTGACTTGAAAAAAAAAGTACGTCATTCCAATATCTTAAGATGTACCGCTAGTTAATGCATCAAAGCCAGCTGTGCACAGACATTTGGTTATTCAGCAAGGAAGTCTGTATTTCATTTTTTATCATTTACTTTATTATACTTTTTTTATTTTTTTTATTTAATTTTTCAAAATAAGAGAAAAGGAGTGAGACAGCGTGTGATCCACGAGGACTTTTTTTTTGGGGGGGGCAATTGTTGCCTTAATTTGATTGGACAGTGGCTAGAGACGGAAGCTAGGGAGAGAGAGTGGGGAATGACATGCGGGAAAATTGCCACAGGTCGGACTCAAACCTGAGTCCGTACAAGGGGAGCGACCTAACCGCTAGGCCATCCGCGCCTCACCACGAGGAGCTTTGGACTGTTCACAATAACACAGCACTGTACATTTCGGGGAGAATATGTGGAGGGTGTGTGTTCCTACCTTATCGCTGTCCAGTGTGTTCTGGGATGTGCGCGAGGCGATGGAGATGGTGTCAGGTTGGCTGCTGGCGTCTCCCTGGCTGTCCAGCTCCTCTCCGTCACTGCAGTTAAACATTATATTAAATTATAATATAATAGTTATTGCATTTTTTCTAATGACTATTTACTGGAAATGTTGGTTAACAACAGTCTGGATACTGGGAGGCTTTTTAAATCTGTAGTTATTCTCCAGTATGATTGCTGAGGCTGAAATTGTTTGTACCATGTCTTCTTCTACTTGTTTGATAAAAAGTAAGAGTACAGTTTGATATTTACTTTATGTTGGTTAATATAATGAGCTCACCGTCTGCCTTTATGTTTGGTTGTTGTAGCTTTGGGGATGTGGATGGGCTCCTTCAGAGCTCCACGCAGGTGGACAGTTCGCTCCTGGATAACCTCCCGAATGTGTTTAATCCAGTCCTGCTTGTTCTCAATACTTGAAGCCTGGGACAAAACACATGTGTAGGTTAGATTTGCACGATCGTATATATGTACAGCTGGTATGTCAGCAGCATAATAAGCACATTAGTCCAACAACGAAGGATGTGACAGCAGAGAAAAATTGAAGTGGTTTGCCCTGATCACTTGACCTGACTACATGAATTGTTGGCCCATCACACGCTATCAGGTTCAATTTTGCAATTATATAGTTCTGTCTGATTTCACCTGAGTGCTTTGACCACAGCAATCATGTTCCTGACTCATATCCATATTCAGACTCAAAGTGTAATGACGACAGCAGAGTCTCCCAAACGACAAACACCACATATAATGTATTGTCAGACTGGGGTTTGTATTTTGTGTATGATTGCTCTTGTCTGTCTCTCATCCTCCTTCTTCACTTAGCAACCAGCAGCACATTGTTACATAAGACACATATTAAGATGGCCATCAGAGGTTATGTAATAAGACAGTTAGCTGTACAAAAACATTCACACATCATAACACAGACACAGGGATTGGCAACTTCTGTCTTTCCCTTGGTAGATCCCTAAACCAATCTCATTCCTTCACACAAACACACACGGTGCATAAATCATCTCTTCTGACTCACTGTGTGAGAGCTACCAAGTTGCTTGTGAGTGTGGATTCTGACCTATCGACGGCTATGCTAATGTTTCTGTGTGATGAGTGAATAAGTAGCAGAAAGTAACACTCCAACCCCCGACAGGGAGTGAACTTTCTTGGCTGAACAGAAGGAGCTATGGAGGATTTAGAGGGGGTGGACTACAGAGATATAGAGTGACTCTTTACGTGTGAGCGAGTTGACGAAATCATACAGGGATCTATTTTACACTTTGAACAGAGCCGAAAGAGGAACTGAAGCTCTGTAGGAAACAAAAAAAAAAAAGGTGGTTCCTGTTTTTAACTTGATTGTTTACTTTCAAAAATTCAGAAGAGGAAAAATAGCTATTTTTTTATATGTAGATGAAAGAGCTTGGTACCACTTTACCCATATAGCCACAGCTTTGTTTCCTAGATGAAAGGATTATGGTGCCTAATATAACTAAAAACACACTCAGTAAATTCAAAGTTGGACTTAACACAGCTGTAAGACGATAACTGCTGCATTGCAACATCTTGATACCTTGAGGACGATCTTGTTGTCTGAGGTCGGGGTCCTGCCCACCCACAAGGCAAATTTACAAGGATCTCCCTCCACATGTTCGGTCACTCCGAGCTCAGATGTCTAAGAAGGGAAATTAAGATGTCAAGAAATTGACTCACATGAGCTAACAATAAGCAACACAAATTAAAAAAAAAAAAAAAAACATCACATTTTTGATTGAGGAGATCTGTTATGAAGGAAGAGGCTGGAGCACGAGCAGCATGAACTTAAGCATCTTGTGTTATTAATCAGTTCACATAAACTAAACTCATTGTGTCTATAATAAGATTCAAGATTCAGTTCATTGTCACTTCCATAATACACTCTCAAGCATACATCTGAGTGACATGCCGTTCTCCTCAGATCTATAATTACTGGTTTCATAATGTAATTGTTGGTGATTTAAACATTAAGGGATAAATCAGAGCTTCCTTGACGAGCGCACTAAATAGATTAAAATAAACACTGTACAATAAATAATATCGTATGATTAAACTGTTCATTACTTACAAAGAGCTTGCTCTTGTACAGGTACTTGCTACGTCCGTTGGAGTCTTTGACTTCTTTGCTGAGGACCAGCGACATCTCAAAAAGAAAGAGATGTCGGTCACGACCCTTTCGGATCAGTGTCTTTGGATCCCAGACCTGGAAGGACTCCTGGAGGATCAACTCTCCCTGGGAGTCAATGTTTCCGTCAAACCCTGAGGTCATGCAGGGAGAAGAGGAAAGAGTCATTTAGGAGGAGTTGTACTGTACACACAGTTATTTTGGAGCGTGTGTACAAACATGTTAGTGGGTGGCATTTGGAAGGAGGTTGAATGAAGTTTCTGCTGAGTCACAGCTGAGTAATTTGTGCAGACATAAATGAAAGAGAGTGGTGTGATAACATTTACAACAGCAAAGTGAAAGTCCTGTTTGAAACATTAAACCCACATAGTTTTACAGGTGACTATCAGTGATAAATGCGAGGTACCATGAAGCAAAGTGAGAGAGTGTGTGTTTTGTATACCCACCATCCAGCATAGAGAGGTGCATGGCATCATTGGCTCTCTTGGGTACACTGAGCATCACTTCAAGACCGTCCTTGATCTCACCTTTACCCTCCTCACAGCATGTCAACAACTCCTACAAATACAAACACGCACATATTCACATAAAATACGGACACGGTGAACATAACATTTTGCACTGAAGGAATGAAGCCGTAATAGATTTCCTTGTTCTTAAATGATTCTAATGGCATGAGGTACCTTAAGCAGGAGCTGGTATTTAGTGATTCTCTGGACCGGTTTGATCAGATAAGAAGAGATAGAGTTGGCAAGGCGGTGCCTTTGTTGGATTTCCTGTGGGTCAAAAAGGGAAAAAGACACCGTTGATGTTTTGTACAGAAAAACAATGTCAATCCAAATATTTCAAAGGTCAAATATATAATAAATTACATAAAAAATGATCAATATCTACTCCCTGAGAATGTATTTATGGCATAGTATTATTATATATTATTATATAGTATAGTATAAGAAGGAGTGTATGGCTTATGAACAAGTGATTAGACATCAAGCATTGCTGGTGTTGACTTACATCAAAGTAGGGTCCAGCATGTTCCAGGATGAGCTGAGTGGAGTCGGGTTTGTTCTTACAGTAGTTCACATACATCTGGAACTTATCAGCCTGGGGAAGGAGATGCAACATCGCTGCTTTACTCACAAAGTGGCAAGGTACTTGGCAACATATCTACAGGATATGTGTAAGACTAAACAAGCAAAGTGTAGTGTGTTTATTTTAATATTTAAACTTCAAATGGCCGGATCATACACTGTAGAAAAGGAGGGTAGGACAAAATGTTTGCAATGTGTTATTGTTGAGAGGTAAGAGCGTTAAGTTCATGAGCATGTACTGTATATGCGTATATGTTTATACTTATTTCAAATTGTAGTACTTGCTTTAAATGTAAAGTGCCTTATAAATAAAATGTATTATTAATATTATTATTACAACTTCTTACCCAGGTCACAAAGCAATGGCCAACATCCTCTGGCAGCTGCTCATACTTCTCCAACTCCTTCAGGAAGATGCTGCACGGACACAGGAAGATTTAAAGGAAGAACCATCAGACGCTGGAGATCTCTTCTTACAGTGCAGAACTTTACACATTTAAACTTTGAATATGTTGACGTTGATAACTCGTGTAACTGACTTGTGATGAAACTCGTAAAGGTCCTGCATGTTCCCAAAGATGATGTGTTCCTTGTTGACAATACCAGGAGGAATCTCCTCCACGCCGCTGGTCATCTCCCACAGGTACGTCTGAACAAACACGCACACAACAGAATATAACCAATGAAGTAACCCCTAAGACGGTCTTTATGTTCAGAATATCTGCTCCTTATCTGGTTGTATTTCTCTCTTTATATTGTTTTGGCTTTTCAGCTGTGACAGCACTTTGATCAACTCAGGTTGTTAGATAAATACATTTTGATTTGAATTGATTAAGTACGGTAAATCATTGACTTAATTATTGAGAATCAGGGGAAAAAAATCTAAACAAGAAGAAAGAAGAAAATGTTGAACTGAACCATGAAGGAGTTTGAACTGAAAATCTACCAGTACAGTAAACATGGAACATCAGAAACAAAGATAAGGACATCTGTGTGAGCAGTGGTGATGATCTACTGTGTAAATATACTCAAGGATATAATGAGCGGGGGTTGTTATAATACTTACATCCATACACTCCCGTAGGTCTCTGACGTAGGTTTTCTCTGTTTGAATCAGCTCAGCCATTATAAATCTAAAATGACACACACACACACACACACACATGAAAGATGATTGTGATGAACAGTAGAAAGCCAGTTTGTATTTGGAAGCATTAAAAGCCTGTTCATGGCCTCCCCTCTGTATGAATTTCTTCATAAACTAATTAGAACAAATTACCACAGATTTTCTTCACAGCATCAGGAACACCTGAAACATTTTGTGATAAGGCTCGTCCCTGCGTTCTCTCTCACCCACCATACACTTCATCTCCATTTGTTTACACACTTGATTGGATTTAAAGATTTCAGTGTTCCCTGTTTTGTCTCAATGTTCTCTGGGTAATTTAACATTAATCTCCACATTGACACTAATCCAAACATTTTGAAATGAAAGCCTCTCTGCAGTTATACATTTTTTATGAGTCATAAAAACGTGTTGACATTTTTTTCCCAGTACTTTTTTCAGGCCTGTGTCAGAAAAAAACGTGTGACACCTACTCTTTCCTTCGCGCTGACTTCCTCTTCTCCTCGTTGAGTTCATGAGCAGCATCCCTCAGCTTGACCTCTGACCCTGGAGCGCTGGCCGGGATGATGTCCAGTTGCAGCTCTTTACTCTGAAAAGGACACAGGGGGGCTTTTATGTTGCCTGTAACATGCGTTGTGTTCATTCACTACTCAACACTCAATATGTCATGATCTTGTTTGCTGTTAGCACCCGTTTATTAAAACACACTGTGGGGAGACGGAGCTCCAATACAAACATACAGTTATGCAACATCTGTCTACATGCGACGACCGCCTGGTGAAAGCACGTATACTTAATATTAGGATCAAATTAAAGCAGTTGCTATGGTTCTATTTATAACCTTCAACATGATTTTGCTAAATTCTTAAACAAAAAGGTATATCCTTATAAGTATAGAACATTCCTTATGTATTTCTTTTGTTTGTTATTGAAGAGCATAAATAAAAGAGCAGATAAATAAAGTCTGCAAAAACACAAAAGGAGAAACACAGTTTTTGATCAGTGGTTAGCACTCACAGCTTTGTTGGAGTCGGAAGAAATGCCAAGAGCCGTTTCCAGGCAGGTACGATATTTGTCCATGCGGAGAGAGAAGTCCCTGTAGCGCTTGTCCACCGAGGATACCCATTTCTTTATCTCCAGGGCATGGGCGTGTCCCTTGTCACAAAACCCATCGGCCAGCTGGATCAACAGCTTCACCCGCTCTTTAGTTTGCTGTCAATAGAGACACATTTAGGGAGGGGATGGAGAGAGAAAAAAAGAGTAGTGGAGGAAAGGTAGATAGAGAGACACAAAGGTGGAGAGAGAGAGAGAGAGAGTTACAAATCAGTGTGTTGCTTGATGGACACAATAGCTTTTCTTTTACACAATAACAGTGACACAGCATCGAGGACAATACAGCGCCCTGGGAGTGGGCCTCATGGCGGAGCAGAGCACTGTGCAAACACAAACACAACTAAACACAGCAACATGAGTGTAGTGACGGACAAACACATACTTCATACCCTTTTTTGAAACAGACAAATAAACACAACACACGTACCTTTGCTGTGATCTGGAAGTCTTCATGCTCTTTTAGCAGCTCCTGTGTGTGATGAATGCTGGAGCCGGTGGATGTGTGTGTGGACAGGTAAAACTCCCCAGTGTCATGGATCCACTCCAGGGCCTGAGGACACGACCAATCACAAGTGAGTATGTTCACACTGCAGGGATTTTAGTGACACAATTACACATAGCCTCATATTTCTTTATCAGCCATCTAAATCAGAAGACTTCAAACTCTTAAAACTGCAATACAAGTAAAGCAGAATGGAGGTTTGTAATATTAAACCTATTTATCATTTCCTCCAATATCCAGAGGGACTCCATTTTTTTTATTAATAATGGTTCAAGTTCTAATATGCACAATTCGTTCCACTGTTCATTTTACCTTTAACCCTCACTATTAAGTTTTAAACACTTAAGGCCTTGGACTGGGGTTCCTGATGAACAGCTGTGAGAAAAACTGTCCTCAAAAGAATCTGGAAAAATATGTTTTTGAAAGGATACTGTTAATTTGTAATTATGTGTATATGCATCAAAATGTCAAATAAAATTATGACAACTGACAGAGTGCCCCTTCCCCTCTGTCCCATTGCAAACTTCAACGAAATAAGTAGTTCAATCGATAAAAAAAATCTAAAGAAATTTCTTGTGTTTGACCGAATAACATTTAAAAACCACCAATTAAAATCAAAACAGAAATAAGCACACATTGAATCGACAAAGTCATGAAGATTAAAGAAAAATGATGTAAAGCGACTGTGAGATAAGACACAAAAAGTCAACCTGTCATTTCTGTAAGTACCTCAGAAACATTTGGTTAAGTATCCCTTCACGAGTAAAGTCATGGAAGTTGATGTCCTTATAATTTACAAACACTTATAGGATAATTATTAAGAAATATATGTCAGATATCATCTGTATAACGTGCAGACACAATCTGTTATACATGTGAACTATTCCATTTCCAAATGTCCTACTGGCTGTGTTCTTAAACCAGCAGTAGCAGGCAGGGCGGGTCCAGTCAAACTGTGACACCAGGAAGTGTTTTGGCCCTGGGGATAAAACCTGGATTGCCCTAGAATAGCCTTGTCCTAGAAACAGCCATGATGTCATCTACTGTATGATTTTTATTAGCGAAGTGCTTTGCTGCGTGCCTGTGCTGTACCATCCACTCACCACAAGAGGGAGCATGGTACTTGTGTTTACACAGCCTCTGATCTAATACACAGTCAGAGCTTAGAGGCTGCACGTTCTTGCTTGCTTCAAAATAAAGAGTTCCCAGCAGTCCAAGTTATATTTAAATAAACTAGTTTAGATTTCTGCTCAGTCGGTGATATGCAAGCTCTGTGTAAGTCTTTTCTTCATTAAAAGTCTGTGTTCTATTGATACATTTGGAGTATTCTTGTGACTTGACCTATCATAGAGGCTCTCGTACCATTCCAACCCAAAAAAAACAAACAAACATATTTTAAATGTTGAGTACTGCAATGAGTGCAAGAAATGAGAGGTCGGAGACTTCTGTTTGGCACTGCTGTGTAATAAACACAGAGTTACATTTCTACTGGGCCACATAATGATAGCTGTCTTCAAGACTGCCGTTGTGAATGCCTGCCAGCTTACATCATTTCCAGTACATTTGAAATGTATCATTACAAAGAAAAACACAGACTGCTCGAAAAAGAGCGACAAATTCAGATTGAAGTAGCAGCTGTTTGCTAACCGACACAAGACCAACTTGCTTATTTATATCCAGATCAATCAGGAGCAATGTATCTCATAGGAAAGGGGCTCCTTTTCTACTCCTTTTGTATGAAGTGTATTGAATGACACATCCATGTCAGTCTGCTCAGTCATATCTCACAGTATACAGTCTACACAATAATATGCACACACCTGCTTTGCGCTGCGTTCAAACACAACATACTGCTGGCACTGGTCCAGCCTCCGTTTCCTCATCGTCCAGAAGTGGAGCACTCGATTCTCTCTCTGCAGCAACTCATTCAAAATATCTGACGAGACAGCAGAGCAAAGATATTTTGAGACTTTTATTGTTGTATGTCTGCTTTAAACAGTGACATGATAACCACCTGAAGTTATTGTTTCGACAACAAAAATAAGAAACAGTGAAATGATTTACAGTCTCAGAATCAGCTTCAGAATGATGAGATGCAGAAAATATAAAGGCGACAACGAGTCATGTACTTACTCTTAACCTGAGTCTCTGGAGCTTTGACATGGGACAACATGCCGGGCATGTTCACACTGTTCCTGTGCAGATACTTCAAGAAGACGTCAGCGTTACGCCTGGCTAACGTACATGCCTGTTAAAGGGAACAATGAGAACAGATGTTACATACTAATCCAATAATACAAACTTTCTCACTTATATTGAAAATCACCTTCAAAAGCACACACATAACAAGTGTGTTGACATGTTCTTTATGGTAAATATAAACTGAAAATATGTTCTTACTTTGAGGAAAGCTTCCTTCTGCTCCAGATGTTTGCTGATCATGGGAGTGACGTGATCTGACTCACAGTTCGGGCCCAGTTTATCAGCACCGCCACACCAGTCTTCTTCTCTCTTGTACTCCTGCTCCAGGCTCTCTAACACACTGCACACCTGAGACATAGATTAAACGATATTAGAAACCACTGTTTAAGGCATTAGTGGCCTTCTCTTACTCCAGGCTTTCTCTTGATCTCATACTGCATGCACTAGCTTTCCAGCTCTGATTTTCACAGGGGGTGAAAGTAATTCACATAATCCCTTTTTTAAATCATTTTATCTCACTCCTGTTTTAAGATAATCTATTGCACTTAAAAACCTGTGTAAGTCAGTCGGCTTGTCCTCTCAAATATGCTGAAACGTACCTGTTCAGAGGTCTTGTAGAAGGCCACAGAAGCATTCACCAGCTTGAGTCGGTCCTCCATCTTCAGCATCAGCTGCTGCCAGTGGTCAGCCACCTTCAGGCAACAATAAGAAACAAATCAGTTTCTGGCAAAAGAAAACCACACCAACAATATTGCTATTCATATATTTGCATACAATCTTAAAAGATGGGTACCTTTTCCGCACAGTCCCTGATCATATCCATGTCATAGTGGTTCGCCTGGAGTAAGGCCTCAGCCTTCTGCTGTACCTGCAGAGCACTCTGATGGGTTTTCTGCACAGGGGATGAGGGGGAGATAAAAAAAAAAAAAAAAACAGACAAAGAAATTCATGAGTTATATGATTCTCTATATATCACAATGATTGCTTTGAAAACAGGGGCCCAGGCTGCCTGTTGTCCCTGCAGGGCAGTTTGGTGGAGGGTGAAGGAAAGGCTAAATAAATAAAAGTAGCGTCTGATTATAGCTGTATCATAAAGATTGTCCTGGAGTGAGAATTCTGGAGTAGAAATTAGATTAAAAAAAAGAACAGTGTCTGGTGAGTTCTGTGTCAAAGTGGTTAGCCTACAGGACAACTTGTACTCCCTGCTGGACTATAGGGAGGGGGAAGAGAAGGAGAGAAATAAAAATGAAGCATTTTCTGCAACCAATGGAGATGTCTGCAGCACCTGCAGTGTACGGCAACCTTTCCATATCCCTCACCACGCAGGGAATACAGTTATGGCATGAGTATTAAAATTTGAGTCTCATGTTGGTAATAATCATAAACACAGCTTTCTTCTGAGTGTGCCTCTTGTGTGTGTGTGTGTGTGTGTGTGTGTGTGTGTGTGTGTGTGTGTGTGTGTGTGAATGTGAGCTCTGTAGAAGTAGGTCAGGTACAGGCCTGCATTAAAATGAGACAGGCGAGATAGAGTTCAAAGAAAATTCACCCTGCATAATCAGTACTAAAGAGATAAAGGAAATAAAGAAGAGAGGTGAGCAGAGAGAGAGAAGAAAGAGAGAGGAGGAGATATCAGTTATTCATAATTCCAATTCATGTGCGACTTGTGAGGAAAAAGGGGAGGCGGAGGAGACGCGTACGATGATCCTGAGAAGAGTTTCAGAAGGCAAAAGGTTGAGCGGGGCAGAGTGGTAGAGTAGGAAATGAAGCATGAAAAGGGGAATCGACACAAACATGATGAAAGGAAAGAAGAGGAAAAATAGAAGTCAAGCATGTATGAAAAAAAAAAGATGCCTGCGACTGAAAGTGTAGCTCACATGGACTTCATAATGTTTGTTATAAAATGTTCATGAAC